TTTTTTTTTTTTATGTCTGTTGCCACTTTTTCTCAGTTCTCACTAGACCGATTTCTTTCAACAATACGTCAAAAGATCACAAATCGTATCTAGTTGAAGACATTACCCTTAAAAAATTGAAAAATTATTCCTCGTTCGCCGCAAATGGGGGAAATATCCAAAAAAATTACAAATTGAAAAATCGGTAAATTTATAAAAAATTATAATTAAATAATTATATTTAATATAATTAATATAGAATTGTAATGAATGGATAACCACACTAACTTTCAAATAGAAAATACTCGTGTCCCATAGAGCAGGAGAAATTCAAGAGCTCACTTGTCAATTAGGTTGGTTTCATATATAGACGCATGAAAACCCAAAGAATTTAGTATCATATGGTTGTATTGCTGAACTAATAGGTTAGATGGAGAAGTGGTGAGATGGTCTTTGTTAGTTAGGTAAAAATATAATCTCTAGATATAGAAATATAAAATGTTGATTAGACTTTTAATTATAATTTTAAGTTAATTTTACAGGTATAACTATTGTCAAACTAGTTTTCATCATCGGATGAAATGGTACGGATAATAGTCTATTACATTCGATTTATAGATACAAAAGTAAAAAATTAGTAGAAAAGATAGGAATATTAAAAAACACCGATGATGTAAACGGTTAAAATACAGAAATAGATTACAAAAGTACATCAAAGTACAGCGAAAAATAATTTGACAAAATAAAACTATTATTAAATAAATTCACAAATTGTGCAAACTATCATTTTTATTACTATTATTTTTTCTATTGACAAAAAATTTAAAAATGAAGCATGCTTTAGAAAACATTTATGTCAACATATATAATTCAGACCATGCATTTAAGTTAACATTATATTTTTAATAACAAGCTAAAATGATAATTTATAATTTTTTTTAAATTTTAAACAAATTGGAAAAAAATGGAAATATTAAAATTTTGTACCGGATTTAAATATAAAATATGATTATTAAAATTATTAACTAAATTTAATTAAAGAAACCTAAAATGTACTCAATCGTCGGCAATAATTTGTTGAAATTAAGTAAAATAAATTGCTTTAACTTAATATAAACGAATTCTTGCGGAAATAATGAAAAATATTAGGGCTTATTTTTACAATAACAAAGGGTAATGTAATATATGTTATAATTATGTAGTTTATTTATTGTGTTTATGATTTTTAAACACTTACTTGCTTATAATTAGTTAAGTAAAACATAAATATTTTAGTATGAGTAATCTGAATTGTCGGGTTGTCCCTCGGCACGATGTTTGCAATGATTTTATTTTATTTTATTTTTGAAATTTGCATTATAGAATATTGAAATATCACATTGTGTCTTTTTTTAACTTAACCTTGTATGTATGTCCATCTGTTATCCTTGCCGGATAGAATATCACTAATTAGTGCATTGTACATTTTTATAGCTAATTTACCTTCTCATATCTTAATCAATAAAATTTGGTTTATGCAAGAACAAATAAAAATAATGGCTTCTGTATTTAATACAGTAAAATGACATTAGAAGTTTGGCCTAAAATCACTTAACCTTAACAAGCTGTAACGGACGAACGGTTAATCGGATAAAAAAAATTTTAAGAACAAAATTGTTTGAAATTACTTTTTTCTATCACATTATAAAGTTAAAATAAGTGTTCCCATATAAGAAAATTATAAATAAGGGTTTTTATCCTTGAAGGGAAGAAAAAATAATGGCTTGACTACAGATCATTGTAGAATATTTTGAACTTGATATTTTTTCTCTATAATAAAATTTTAAATTCTCAATATTTTCTGAGAAAATGAGTGTCATACTAGATTTCAGTCATCCTGTATACAGAGTGTTCAGTAAGTCAAGAAACGGGTTTCTATTGTTCTCATTGTTACAAACAATGACTTACTGAACACCCTGTATAATACCGCATCATTTTCGATTTTTTTTTCTTCATTTTTATATTATTTTCATATTAAATTTACTTTATATTCCTATGTAATACATTTTAATTTGAACTGAACACCAAAAATATAAAAAAAATTGTTGTAGCACTTCTATTATCTACAGTTTTTAATTNTTGTTGTAGCACTTTTACTATCTACAGTTTTTAATTTCTAAGACAAGTGAATTTTTATTAGAAAATGTTTTTGCTGCGACGATTTATATTAGCCCAGTAAATCAAATATTTTTACATAAATATATATTTTTTAAATAATCAGTTGTAATATTTTATCACATATTATCTAATCAATTTGATCGAATTTATTTCTCATTTAATGCAACGTTTTTTACAAAAATAAAATGATAGTAAAATAATTTTAACTGTGAAACGTCACAAATTCTAAGGTGGACCGTGTATAATTTTTTGTGATGTCTACTTATTTATTTTATTGAGCAAGAGAATGCATGAATGAACCTTTTTCTGACACATCGGTGTCAACAAGTCATTATTTTTACTGCTGACCACTATATAAGACGACAAAAGAGAATAAATATAATTAAAATCAAATTCTTTATCGGTATTGATCCCTCCCAAAAATACTGGCCGTTTGAAATAGCCGTTAGATTGGTGTTGGCTCCTCATCCTTTATCTGCAATCACTTACAACTTTAATTATCATAGTTGTGGTTAATAAACCTTTAGGTATTATAATCATTTATACATATAGCGACATATTAACTTAAATTAAACTATTAATTAACTCAAAATTAAATTTCACCAATGGACCGGTAATCATATCTAATAGGTGTGACACCTCGCCTATGTTGTGGCGAGCATTGTTACTACAGCAAGTCGTTATACAAATGGCAAAACACATTGTTGTTGCAAGCCGACAAAAAGCCCACTAGCAACTGTCTTTCTAATTTAATCAAATATTTTTATAAATTTATTACTTTTCATATATTTTTAAGTATAAATGACAAATTTTTTATGATAGTCTTAATTTTTTTTTGTTTTTTGAATATTAATCTATTTTGAACTGTAATCACTGTTAAATAATCTTTATTATTAATTAAAATCTTTAATATTTATTTTTCTTGCTATTTTTATTAATTATTAATACTTAATGTAAATTATTATTTAAAATTATTTATTAAATTAATCAATTTAACAAATATATGTTTTTGATTTATAATAAGAAGTCTTAAATTTTTTTAAATGTTTTTGATTGCTTAACTGAAAATGATTCTAATAAAATTGTGTCCACCCTAATACTTTTGTATCTAGTTAAAATATATGGATATTTGTACAGTGTAACATTCATTACCTTTTTTGAACAATTACTATCTAAAAAATACTTTAAAGTAAACTTAAAATTATAAAAAAAAATGCACATATATTTTTACAATGTTCAATTCTAAATGCTTATGAAATATATATTTAGACTTTCGTCTAATTAATAATAACAGATTTTTTTGTAAAATAAAAAACTATAAAATAATGACAGATGTTACAAAAAATATATATCAATTACCCAAGTATACTAATTGCAAACATAACACTACATTTGACTAGTCATCTTTAACAATATTCTAAATGTTTAATTAATTTTAAATGGTATAATTTACAAAAACTTTCTGTACACTCATAGAAAACAGAAAATATAATAATCTCTTTGAAGCAATTTAAATCATAGGAATTATTAACTATTAAAAATAAAACAAATAATTTAAATTAAAAAAATCATATACACTTAATTATCTATATAAATTAATTATTACTAATACCAAAATAATAAATAAAATTACAAAATTATTGTCTATGATCGTTTTTACAATAATTTAATAATTATAATAATATTTTTTACTTAATTGCCTTTGTAATACAAAAATAAGATGAAATTGCTTACAAAATTAACGATTAGGCATTATTGAACAAAAAAACGCATGTCAAATAATTAATGTTACCAAATTATTTTGTGAGTAGTACAAATCATAATAAATGAAGTCGCTCTCCAATTGAATAAAAAATCAACATAAAGTCAGAGCAACTAATCTTAAATATAATTAAGCACAAATATTATATCGTTTTACAAAATAAATTTAATATTATACACAAAAAGTTTGGAAAAAAAAGTTGCTGATTATGTTATTCAGCTGTAATACGATGATTACGTTATCCATATAGCAGTTATTAAACATAAAAGTACTAAATATGAAGTAACTATTAATGCAGAACTTGAACCACACTGTTTCATTTCAATTTCCTAAAAGACAAAATAAGTATATTAAGAATTAAGAAAAGATACAAGGCTTTTAAAATTTTAAAATATATTTCTGGGTGATAGTTGATACACTTTCCAGTAATTCTTCTGTGCATGTTTTGTTCTTGACAATAATAAACTGGCTGTCCGGATTCATCAGCATGCCGGACTTCTTGAGGATCAATGCTGAGTTGCTTGTTTCCACATGGACATAATGTACATATAATAGTAGTATCTACTACTAACAATATGAGATTACTATGAGGAATTTTTTGTACGCAAAATAGTCTGTATAACATAATTATAATATTACACGATTAAATAAAACTTCATATTTATGGATTTTGTTGAATTAAATATAAAAACAATGTACCGTTCGCATCCAGTTGCATGACAATTCGTTAATTTCCCTTTAAGTGAGATGAACGACCCACTCATAATCAGCCTACTTGGTTATAAAACAAAAAGATCAACCGTTTTTTTGCATGTTCTCGTGACTTCCGGAAGAGTATGATTGTGGGTTGGATTAAAATAATCGTTGTTCTTTATATTAGGAACGTGTATTAGGGGGATGTGGAGGCAAATCTCCATAGTCATTATTTGAACCAGCATTTGGCTTTTCATCCCTTAATATTGGTTTTTCATTTTGGTCAACAGGTAACTTGTCTTCCGGAAATGAACCATCAATTGGATCTATATCATAATCGGCGTATGCTAGTTCTTATTAGATAAACAAAAATTTATCGTCAATTTATTGTAATCAATTAATTCTTAAAATCAATTTAAACTGACAATTTATTTACGATTTTTTAAAATTATTTAACAAAAGATTATGTTAAGTATGTTATTTTATAATGACCATTTACTTACCATCGGCTTGTCCATAAATCCATTTTGGAAACAATACATGATACAAATCAGTTTCAATAGCCATTCAAGTCAAACGTCCCAAAAACCATTTTATAAACCATGTAATAGGTTTCAAAGGCTAAAAATAAAAATTGATTAAAATAAAAATAGTTATTTATTTCTAATATTTGTATAAATACTCGAAGTCCTATTGCTGAGTCGGTGTCCAGTTCAATTCCATTCTGACATGAACCTTGGTTATCGACCACTGTAATCTTTTTGTAAATTCCGTCATATACGAGTGAATCCATGATTCTACCATCAGTTTGACCGAAAAATTGTCCTGTGTGATGCGACTGTTCGGATATTATTATGAAGCCATTGTTGTCTAATACATAACTATCAAGATCATCCGAAGCACATGTTTTTTACAACCCGTCATACCAGTACACTAAAAAAAATTCATCAGTCATGAAATATTTTTCATATTTATCCTTTATACTATAGTTTATATAGGCATAATCGAGGGGAGCTACGGGGACTTAGTCCCTCTTGAAAATAATATTCGTAATATAAGCCCCTCCAGTATATTGTAAAAACTGGTTTTAAGCATAAAAAAAATATTGTTCTATAATAGATATATCTATTATATAACTTTATTTTATGTTTCCAAAAATTCATATATATTACTAAAAAAACTATGTGATATATAATTGGCAAACGAAATTACCATATCAAAATATTACTATCTATCTATACGCTATTAAATATAAATAATATATTAATAATATATTTATATTATCTGTGGTAGAAGGTACCAGGACACAACAGTGTCACTGGAAATGAAAATGCTGACTTTCTAGCCAAGAAAGAAGCAGAGAACACCTATGTTGGATCAGACCAGTGGTATGACTCACTGAGCAATCGCTCAAAGCACTACCCAAGAATTGGTGCAGAGAACAGCACAGGAAAATCTGGAAGTACTTGGTAGTACCTAGACAATCTAAAATGTTTATCAAGACCCCTGGTCTACTACTGGGTAATCTTAATGGCATGACTAGACATCAAATAAGCACCTTGACTAGTCTACTGACAGGACATGGTCACCTGCTTAAACATCTTAACGCAATGGGGGTATCGGAATCACCATTGTTGCAGGAAGTGTGGAGTAGAAGAGAGTAGACTCATTTCACATCATGTGCGAATGTGAAGCCTTATCCACACTAAGATCAAACTACTTGAATAAACCATTTCCTGAAAAAGAGGATATTAAAAACCTAAAACCCAGAGAGATACTTAATTTCGCCAGAAAGACTCGACTTGATATATTTAAATCAAAAAATCTTGAAACAACGGTGACTTATAATTAAGTAAGAAATAATTTAAAGTCTTATTACATAAATTGCTCTTTTGTTGGATTTGTTACGTATAGTCCTTTCACTTTTTATATTTTAATTTGTCTTTCAGACATCCAACTTAATATATTGCAAATAGTTACGTGACAAATAATTTGGTTGACGTTATTAAAGACAAATCAAATAAACCCAAATAAACAAATCAAATATTTGGTGGCTAAAAACTGCCTTACTGAACCTGAAAAATGAAATTTTGATAATTTCAAAAAAAAAAATGTAATTATATTGATCCTTGTAAGTTAACTATGATTTCAATTATGAAAAAATTATAATTGATCAATAGCCATCAATAATTAAAACATCACTTTTTTTTTTATTTGAAAGGGCAGCTGCTTAAATTTTAATATATATACTGGATGAACATAAAAAGCTGCAAAAATGTTCCCTAAGTATACTTTTAATTCAGATCTCAATCTTATTTATTTTTTTAAAGGGGAGATTAAAGAAGGTACTTATCTCCCTCTACTATATGACTATAATGTTTGATCTTAAGTATAGGCATAAATAATTGAAAAAAAAAATTAAATAAAAAATCAATCTTTTACGCCGATTTCAAATCTGCAATTATATTTTATTCTATCGCCTTTTATGAAAAATTAATACGAATTAATAATAAACAAAAAATTACTAATGAAAAAAAACATAGGAAAAATGAAAATTAAAAAACTATCAGTGGATGAAATCATAAATGAAATATTTCTGAATATTAGTATATTATAGGATATAAGAAATAACTATACGGAATATAGTTCTGAATATTTCAATTATAGCATCTATTTAAACACCAGAAGATACATCAAGTGATATTATTTGATTTTTGATTAAATGATTGATTTCGTTACGAATACGAAAAAGTTATGACAAATTTAAGTAAAAATAATATTTTATAATTTAAGTAAAACTTGAAAAACGTTGGTTATTAAAAAGAAATAATTTAAGTATAACTTATAGTACATAAAATAAGCTTTATTTTAATATATGTTTGAAACTCGGAGTATTTGAATTATTTTCGAAGGTTAAATTTTTGTGCAAAAATTGCTATTTCTGATTTTACTTATGTGGGCAGGTAGAGGGTCAAATTTCCAAAAAAATTTATTAAATTAAAGGGATGTACCTAAGGTTATAAGGAAAATTATTTGTTTTCGTTTATTTTTCAAATAGTTATGGCAGTTTTAAGAAAAAAAAGTAAAATTAAAAAATTATAATAATTTATGTATATTATAACAAGAATATTATTGATAATCCACAAAAAAGTGAAATAAATGGTCATTTAGTAAACTTCCTATTAAGTAATATCGTTTACCAAAAAATTATTATAATTTTCATAACAATTTCACAATAAATTTCAACTTAATGATTCAAGTTCAGATTCTTAAATATTTTAAATCATTTTTAATTAACCAGATAGTATTTATATTTTTGTATAAATAACAAATAGGTTTTAAACATACATTTTATTGCTAGGTTTTTAGAATCAATAAATATTTTAAGAAGAAATCAGTATATTACATTTATTAATTATTTTTTTTAGTAAGTAAATTTGAAGTTTAAAATTAATTATTGTTGAAATATTTTTAACATATTATATTTTTTAGGGATTAAAGAAAAAAAATTAACAAAGTACTATATTTTGTTTTATTTTAAATGTTTATTACTTTTTCTGAATTTATATTAAATGTAAGNATTAACAAAATACTATATTTTGTTTTATTTTAAATGTTTATTAGTTTTTCTGAATTTATATCAAATGTAAGTATAATTTTTTTATTATAAGAACTCTTAACAAATTGTATTAACTCGATACTTTTCTATTTTATTAAAATAAGGCTATACTTGTTTGGCTGATAAATTATAATAATTGACTATAATTATATAAAATATATTTTTAATTGGAAAACAATCTCGAAGACAGTTGTTCCATAATTGTCAATATTTAAAAAGTAAGATGATATATTTATTATGAATGAATACTTAAGATAAGTACTATACAATTAAGGTTACTTTTTAATTATATAAATAACACATTTTATAATTTTTTTTATTTTGAAATTTTGATAAATATCAGTTGTCAGAAATATCTAATATTACACTATATCTTTCATGAATAATAATAATATAATTATTGTGATATTATTTACCAAAACATTCTTTTTATATAATGTATTGTCACTTAAATAAACATATTTTCAGGTTAATATAGTTTTGCAATTTGTAATATGTCATTGAATATCAAGACTGAACCCTATAATGAGTCATCAGGTGTTCCAGTTGTCGATTTGTCTGATACCTCAGATGATGATGAATTAGCAGTAACAAAAAAAGTTGGTAAAAACCTAAGTGATCAACTAGAAAGGCCAAAAACACCTGAAACGCATTGTTCTATTTGTCTTGAAGAATTAAACAATAAATGCTACTCAGATTCATGTTGGCATGTGTTTTGTTTTGAATGTTTAAAACGATGGTCAACTGTTAGTTATTAAAATAACCCACATTTAAGTATTACTATGTTAATTATTAATTCTTTTAGATTGAATCATCCTGTCCATTATGTAAAAAAGGTTTCAAATTTATAAATCATACATTCACAGAACAAGGCATTCATGAAACTTATGAGGTACCTATTCAAGACAGAGATGCATCGTAAGTAATTTATGGCATATTTTAAAATTTTTTATTTCATTAAATTTCTATTTTTTTAGACAAAGAATATTTTTACGTCCTTTTGCTGATGTTAATAGGTACGTTAAATACGATTTTAATTGAAATATAAAAATGTTTTTCATATAAACTGCTATATTTAATATTTTAAACCTGCATAATGATTTTTATTATGACCCATTATTACTTTATGATTTCATACAAACTTGTTGTTTAAGAATAATAATATATCATCGGCTTCATATTTTTATAAATTTTACTCCGTATAATTATAAATTATTTTTTATATATTTAAAAATACTAATAAAATTTAATAGTCAATATTGCCATTATGATAAAAATTGTGGAATCTATGTTTAATTTAATTTGATTTTTCAGAATGAATTTATTGTTGGATCTCGTGAGAAGGAATGAAAGACTAATAAGTGAACAAGATCGTGGTTACTCTCATTATCACCAAAGACAATTTCCAGGGGAATCAAATTTTACTGTTTTTAACGGTCATCTTATACGGCGGCAAACTCATGGTAATTATGTGACTCCAATGTGAATTAGACTTTAGAATGAAACATCTTTTGAAAAGATGTTTTAAAAATTAATTTTGATTTAAAAGTATTTTTTATTTGTTCTCAATTATGTCTATAAATTCTACATCTATTGATCTTTGTTTTCTTGTTATTTAAATAAAACATTTTTACAGGTGGTTCTTAGAGTTTAAACTTTCACCATTGATATAAAATTATGGTAGTGAGAGTAGTAAAGGGGTGAATTTTCCTACTACTCTACATTCTCTATTCTTACATGCCCCCAAATAAGTTTTTCTTCTATATTTGCACTTTAAAAATGTTATAAGACCATAATTATTATTATGGTACCAACTGTATTGTGAATAAAGATCCTATATAGATCTATTTAAATATTATGTAACTCTTCTAACCTATAATTATTTGATTTTTAGGTCAAACTATGAGAGTTCGTGTGTATACTGACAATATTTGGGCTGTACCATTGCCTGATTTAAGTGGTCGCTTTAGAGATTGCAGTTCAGCATTTTATAGGTACACAAGAGGTTATAATTAATAAAAGTATTGTTTATTATTAATATTAAATCTGATACTATCCTTTTAATTTTTCTTTAATAATTATTACCGCAAAGAAATAGTATTATGTGTAAAATTAATTATACTTTGGTAATTAGTATGTATGAATTACTATCCTCATTATTATTTTCTTTTTTAGAGATAATCCAGCTCAAATGTATCGATTGGTTGGTTTTATTGTCCGGGATATTTCGGCCATTAGAGAAATAGAAAGATCTG